CCCTAGAATACCTGACATGTTTAGGAAGGACTTCCAACTTTCTCCACCCAAGGTTTTAAGAGCGGATTTTGTCTACTGTTTTATTATTTAATGTTCAATAGCTTAAGTCTAATCCATCTGTAATTTATTTTGCTAAAGGAAGTGGCTTAGAGATATGGTTCTATGTTCCAAAACTTGCTAGGTCTGTAGTACAACATGATCTCGTCCTCCTCCTCCTTTAGATGTTGTTTAAGAGCACAGTTGTGACAGAGTAACTTTTCTTCTGGGTTTGCTCCCTGTGTTTTCTCTGTTAATTTGTTACTTTCACCCTTCCTTCTTTCCTCCCTTCCTTCCCTCCTGTTTCTCTTCATTCCCTAAGAGCACACTGGATAAAATGAACAAGATATAATCACACTGCAGACCCTGAAGAGAAGGGGTGCAAGATTCTCCGTGGCCCCAGCACCCAGATCACAGTTTAGCTCCAGTGCACAGGAAGCGTCATAGAGAAGCTGCGTGCTCATGGGAGATACAGAGGGAAGAGCCTGGGTGCTAACCTAAAGGAAATGGCTGTGGCTGGAGCATCCTATACAGGCAGATAGGAGGTCAATTCCTCCATCCCCCTAGCCCTGCTCTCATGGCATACTTAGTAGGCATGGCAGTATCCTGGCATATGGCAGACTTTTTTTTTTTAGGTTTTTCTTGCATTTGAGAACAGTCCCTGTTCACAACTTTCAGACAAGATTTTTGCTTACTCTTTTTGTTTTCCTTTTTCTCCGTAGACATTTCAGGGTTTTTCCCCTCTTCTGAAGGTCTAATGAAGATTGTAATATATTTTTCTTGGCGTTTTTTCCCCTTCTGTATTATTAGTTCCAGGAATGGTTTCATTTCCTCTGTTTCCTGAACTGGTTATTTGCTCATAAATAGAAAGGCTTCTGGTTTTGTAGTCTCCCTCTTTCATGAGCTTTCAGTTCTGTTACTTCTTTTTCATGGAGAAAATCATAGCATCTTCCCAAATGGCAGGTTGGCTTTCTTGTTTCCAATATGTAAGTTTCTTATTACATTTTCTTATTTGATTGCATTGGCTGGTATCTCACAGAAATGGTAAGCACTGGTAGTGTTACCAGGCTCCCATTTCTTATTCCTAAACTGAATGAAAATGACTGCATTTTATATCAACATAATGCTGCGTTTGGTTTTATACGTAAAGTTGAATATTGAAATACTCTCAAGTAACTTTTTCACTAAGCAATAGTGTTTGATCAAACGTATTCCCTGGGCTGGAGTTATAGCTCAGAGATGAGCACTTGCCTAGCATGTCCAGTTATGCAATATCCTGGGTTCAATTTCTAGCATCACCAGAAAAAAAAATCTAATGGTTTGCTAATATTACAACACTCTAACATTATTAAAATAAACCCCATTTAGTTATGTGTATTGTTTCTGTAAAGCCCATTGTGTTGCATTCCTTCTGCTAATAATTTGAAAGGACCATTTTTTTGCCACGGGGACCTCTTACGTGTTCCCTTTCTAAAAAGAGCATTGCATTGCTGACTTTCTTTCACATTAACCAAACCCTTTTGCTTCAGTGAAGTCCCTTTAGTCTCAGTTCTTATGGCCTTCAGGGTGACTGTAGGTGTCTGACACATGGCTTCACACAAAAGCACAAGACCATTTTTATGTTATTTTGATGTCCTCCAAAAGCCTTGCTGAAATAAGAACTTGGTTGCAGGATGCTGTATATGAAAGATGATCCCAGGAGAGGGTCCCGATGGAGCAGGGGACACAGAGGAAGGGATTCCCAAATAGTATGTTATCTAGCTCTCTGCTGTTGGGTCCAAAGGCACCTCTGAGAAGCCACAGGATGCCCCTTTGTAGGCTGTGCATCTCCTCTCTGCCCTCTGCTTCCTTGAAAAAAAGTTGCCCCCTGGGGCACCAGCACATTCACGTTCAGGCTGACCGGTTCCAGCAGGAGGTGTGAGGTTTATCGTGGAGGGAGGCAGAAAGACAGAGTGTACTGGAGGTATGGGGAAAGGGCCGTAGCCTAGATGGAAGCTAGCCACTCCTCTCTCCAGCCCATTGCCCTGTGTGTCCACCAGGGAAAGCTTCAGAACAGCCCCTCTTATCTCAGATTCTGGGAGAAGCCAACCATCTCTCCGAGTTACAGTCCCTGCACTCTTATGTTCAGACAAAGTGCCAGGAGGCCTTTCAGAGCAAATCCATGGAAAATAAGCTCATGGAAAATTAGTGGCAAGTAATAAGTGTCTGTGCAAGACACAGAGATGACACATGGGAGGCCTATCTGCAGAGGAGTGGGGGCTTTGCAAAATCTGGGACAGTTTGCACTATCAGATCTGTGACTGAACTAGAAATTGTCATGAAATTATGGAGAAATGAGTACATTTTCCAGTATTTGATGTAGGGAAACAAGAAGGAAGTAGTCCTCTTGCTGTAATGGAAAAACAAGTTGAAAAAACTACAAAAGCATAGGGAAATGTGGCCAGGCCCAGGGAGCGGAGGGACTTGCTGGCTGGAACATCTACTTTTACCTGTGCACATTTCTTTTACATGGCTTCCCCTGTGTATTCCTAACTTTTTATCTGGCCTGACTTCATGTCATTGGACATTTCCCACCCCTTGCTTAGACCCATCTCGTCACATGTAAGCAAGAACAGCTGACTTAGGGCATACCAGCTTGGGCAGTCTGAAAACCTTTGTCTAAAAAAGTGCAGCCTCCTTAAGGAGACCTGAGCCCAGGAGCACAAGCCAGGCAGGGACTACCACTGAATGCAATGAGCATCTGACTTAATCTAAGCCACAAAATACTTATGTTTTTCCCAGGACTGAAAACGGTGTTATATTTTGGATTCCCTTCGCCATATGAATGGCCCAGTTTCTAGCTCTCAGTGAAATTGTTGCTCTTTCTGGGAAGTCCTAGTGCATAGCCTATAAACATTGTAAGTAACAGCTGCAGCCTTCAGGATTTACAAGAAAGCAGGAAAAATTGTGTCCTAGACATCATGACCACCATGCAGTTCCTTTAGCCTCTCCTTCCACATCATCATATATGTGAGAAACTCAGGGAAGAGAGTTCACTGAAACAGAAATAGGAGTTCTGAAACCAAGAAGCAAAAAGGGTGATTTCTAATTGAAACAGAAACGAGGTGCTCAGTGATGTGTATAGTGGGGAGGGGGGCACCAGAGATAAGAATTCTGAAAGAAGCTGCATTAAGTGAGCAATGACTTAGTGAAGCCTGAGGCTAGGGGGGTGGTTCTCCCCCAAACCAAAACACTTCTTGGGGCCTTAGGTCAGGGCAAGTACCTGCTGCAATATGAACTGGTCCTGTAGCACGCTATATAAAGTTGTTCAAGACTCAAAGGATATGACTTAAACTTTGTAACTTTGTACAAGGCTGGACCGGATAGCTCTAAACAGACACAAAGAAACTGGGACATAGGCAGGATCTTGTCCTTAAATGTCAAGCAATGGGCTCTCATCACAGTCTGCTCCTGTTGGACAACAAACAGGGCAGAGGCACTGGAGAGAATGGCAGGGGTGTCAGTTGGATTGGCAGACTGAGGCCTGGGACCCAAGGAAAGTGTTTATTGAAGACAGCAGCAAAGTGCTGGCTTTTTGTGCCCAGCAGAAACCGTGCACAGCTGAATTCTGCTCAGCCACTTTCCTTGTATGTGCAGCTGTGGCTTTACACACTTGGGATAGGGATGGTGCGGGGGGTCTGATGGCAGAAGAGTTATGCCTTGGAGATGGGCCTTTGAGCTGGGTTTGTAGGGCAAACACGTCATTCATTTAGATGATACACTTTCTCTGGGGTGGGGGTGACCAAGTTATGGGGAAGTGGAGCCCACACCTGCCACCCACCACCTTGAATCAGTTCTTGGCAAACTCAAAGAACATCAGAATGCTGGGCTGCCCACCTCTCCTGGTAGCCTGTGAGATCCTGCTAAGCTTTTTTCTTCCTGTTTTAGGGTTTATGAGCATTTGATAGAATGCCTCCTTTATTCATTCAACAAATATTTTATCAAGTTTCACGCTTAAGGGAGCAGAGGAAAGAAGTTTGCCACTAGAAATTCCCTCAAGGAATTACAATATTTACTCCTTGCATGTCCTAAAATATTCAGGCCCCAAACATGATTTCTGTTTTTTCCTAAGTGCTTGTAAAGACTTCTTTGAAATGTGGGACAATTATGCAAACCAAAAAAAAAAAAAAAAAAAAAACCAGTATCTAGAGCAAATATTTAACTTTGCTTTTGGTATGTCGAAGTCACCAGCACATGCAAATCTCTCAGACATGTCCTATAAGAGTAACTTAAGGATACAATACATTCATACATACTTTCTTCGAGGAGGGTACAGATTATTTCATTCAGTATTAGTGTTCAAGATTGGACCCTGGTGCAAGACCTCTACCCCCAATTCAGACTCCTAGGACTGAAGATCCTGCAGGGCAGGAAATACCCTCCCTTTCCAGATTATTGAAGAACACAGAGCACAGAGACCTCAATAGTTTTAGACGGAGACACAGCCCCTACAGGGCCGAGTTAACAGTGGATTGGGAATCTGGAGGAGTTCTAGCCCACGAGCACACAGGAACTGGGGACCGTGCCAGGCCTCCGAGCTGGGGGCAGAGGCTCCTGATAGGCTCATTTGGGCTTTGGCAAGGCCAGCAATTCCGGAGTCCTTGGTAAAACAGGATCCCTGGGTGACTCCAGAGGGTGCCATGTGGCCTCTAGGACTCCTCTGAGCAGCAGCTCTTCTCTCACTCCTACCCCCGCCTTTGCATGGCTCGCGGGGCAGTTGTTGGAGACAGGTCTCTTGCCCCTGGACAGAAGGTGCCCAGACCTGGTGACCTAGGAAGCAGCAGCCTGCGAGTTGCCCAGGTACAAAGTTTTGAAGTGCTCTGCTAACGCTTCCTGTATACTCCGGCTCTGCTTCCGAAGCCTATTAAAATAGTCCAGGGTGGGAATCAGCCGCGTTCGAGATAATCGAGCAGAATGAGCCGGGCTGACAACATGAAGGGACTTTCTGGTCCGCTGGGCTGCAGGGGGAGGGGGTTCGCAAGCCACGCAGCCCGCAGCAGAGCGGGGCGGGGCGGCTCTGGGCGCCCAGCGTCTCCAGGGGTTGCTACAACAGACCCCGCTAGCCAAGCTGGAGCGCCAGGGCAGGGGGGGCGGCGGCAGGAGGGGAGGCAGGGACCCCTCGGCCGGCAAGAGGAGCCCTCCCCCACCCTGCCAGGACCCCGGCCGCACCGCCCCCAGGAGCCCCGGTTGCAGGCTGCCGCACGGGGCGGGGCCGCGGCGCTCCTTTCCCGACACCTGAGCCGTGGCGGCCGCGGCTGTGGCTCCCGCGCTCCGGTCCCCGAGGCCGAGCCAGGTGAGCGCGGACGCCGGCCACAGGCGAAGGCTCGGGTCCGCCCCCAACGCACGAGCCACGGTGCGAGCAGGTGAGACCGCGGTTAGGGGCGCTGGAAAGGGCAGTGGGTGTTTCCTAGGTACCCAGCGCTGCTCCCTGAGCCATTTTGAGTGCGTCTTGATTCCAGGAGCACTAAGTACCTGGTAAGCGCAGACCTGGACCCGTAGAAGCTGGGGGTTGGGGAGACGATGCCAGGCGCGCTTCCAGGTGGGGCTCGCTGTCTCACCAGGTGGTGAGACACCCCACCCCCAAAGGTCCCCTGTGGGGCAAAGACCCGTTTGTAAAGCGGCGTGGGCACAGAGTGCAGGAGCAGCCTCTTTGTCCCCTGCCACCTCTCGTTCTTCCTGTCCCTTCCCCTGGGACAGCGCAGGTAGAGCAGCCTCCGCCCCTCGCTGGGTCGGCCTGCCGCAAGTCGCCGCCTGCCTCTCGGGGACGTGGGCCAGCAAACCTGGAGGAGGAGTAGCGGGCGCGGGGCCGCCAGAGGGCGCAGACCCTGCCACTGTGCAAGGTCCCTAGAGACCCCGCTGCGGTCACCCCAGCCCCACCCCCAGCGCCCCTCGCCTGGCGCGCGGAACTGCAGCATCCGAGTCGGAGAGCCGGTGCCTGCGCTTCGGGTGCCGGCAGAGGGTTGGCGGGTCTGGCGCCCCAGTCTCCGGGGTCGCGCGGAGCTCCCGCCGGGTGCCCGACCCCTGCTGCCACGCTCTCCTGCAGGGGTGTGGGGACCCGGCGGGCGCAGGGGAGCGGCCCCCGCGTCCGGCCGCCACCGCCTGTGAATTATGCAGAAGGTTGGCACCGGCGCGCTCGAGTTGCTCAAGTTTCCTTGGCAACTTTCGCCCGGGCATCCCTCCTCCCCTGCGGCGGTCCGCTCCGCCTGCGCGCCCGCGGCCCCGGCGCCTCCACGGGGCGGCCTGGGCGCGCCCCGCGCGGGGAGCGCTAAGGGAAACGCAGACCTCTCACTGGACCCCTCGGCTGGAGCCCACGACTGAGCCAGCTGGTGTGACCCCTGCAATCCACGCGTGGACTTCTGCCGGAGCAGCTGCTGTGGGTCTCGCAGTGGTCTTCACTGCCAGGCTCCGGGGGTCGCTGTGGACCTCACCTTCTGAATGTGAGGGTCGCGGTGGACTTCGCCTCTGAACGTGGAAGGCGAGGGGGTCACCAGTGGACCTTACCGCCGGGTCCCGGAGTCGAGGTGCTGCACCCTTCCACGGATCTGCGCGTGGACCTCTTGTTCTGGGGTGGGTAGAAGCGCGGGCAAGATTCTCGTTTTCTATGGGGCTGGGGGCGCCCAGAGGGCAGAGGAATGGTTTTAGGGACCCTGAATTTTGGCAGCAGAGCTTTTAAAGGGACTCTGGCAGCTTGATCGGAGGTTGTGGGTCCGCAGGTGGAGGGTTAAGCCAGAATACATGGGGGCTAGTGATTGTAGGCAGAGTGTGCTCCCCGAGGCCTCCGAGGTCATCTGAAAATACTGTAGTGGTTTCCACGTGGAAAATCGAGGTAGTACATTGGATAAGTGTGTGACCTGTTTCTCTTCTGAAACTCAAGTTTGAACGTTAAATGAGGTCAATTAGCTAATTAAGCGGAGCTCCTGGAAGCAAGGAGGTAATTTTGGAAGTCCCCTAGGGATTGGTGGTTTGACCTCTGCCTGGAATTTGACCCTCAACCGACCGGGGAGGTTCTGCTGGCCAGGGATCTAGTGGAAGTCATGGTGGATCCAGGTCCTCTGCAATCCACATTCAGTAATAATGATGATCTTCTGCATGCTAGGCACCAAACCTGGTATATGGGTGGGAGAGTGGGATGTCCAGGGCGTTTGCATTTGGAGACCTGAGTTTTCCAAACTTGTATATCACAGCAAGGTTGCCTCTGATTAAAGCAGTGAATCTTCCATTGCCTGGGCAGTGAGCGTGGAGGGAGTTTGGCACTGCTTATTAAGGAAGGGGTAGTGGAGGTGGCTGGTTTAAGGAGGGTTAATAGGTGGTAGCTGTGGGATTTTACCCCCAGAAGTTAGTATCTTTAAAGAGGGCACGAGAGACTCTTGATTCTGTCCAAATGAGTCTCTCTTAATAGTGATTGAATGTTAAAACTCCTGGGAGCAATGTTCTCAAGGAAAGGAAACGAATTCTATTATCATGCTAGGAAAACTTCCAAGAAGGAGGAAACTGGTAAAAAGCTGGTTCATTCTCTGGGCCTCTATGCAGGAGGCTGGGATTCAGGTGTCAAAGGAGCTCTTTATGAATAAGGTGATTTTGGCTTTTTAAAGGCAGATCCCCGGGACTCTGTTGACAGCCCTTGGCTGCTTTTAACAAATTTAGATCCTCAACAGGGAGGAGGAATCTCTGCTCTACTGTCTCCAGCAGCTTTTGTTTAGCAAGCCCTGTTCAGATAAGTTTCCAGATGTTTCTAGGCTTATTCAGTTGTTGCTGTGGATTGTGAGTGTGGCCCTCTGCTGGTGTTTTGAGGCCCCTATCAAGTTCAGGGACTTTGGTCCAGGCCCTGGGAGGGTGGGAGGTGGATATCTAGGGGACAGGATTATTGAGGCTGGTGAGAAAATCTGACCAGAGGAAGGTAAGAGAATTGCAAGATAACACTGCATTTTGTTTCACCAGACCCAGACCACTCCTAAGAGGACTTCTGTAGAAAGTTCCTTAGTAAGCTTGCCTTGTATCTTTGTGTGTGCTGGAGTTCTAAGTGATAGAGTTCTGGGTTTCCTGTGGGTCCCCATGATTAATAGGGACTTATCCAAAGTGAGACACCATGTGGGGGCCCAGAGGTGTGTGCAGAGACCTGGGATAGTTGTGGACAACAGCACCTGACCCCTAAGGTCTCCTTGCCGGGCAGGTAGAGCCTTCTGATCCTGAGAATGGCTTTTAGGACATCCAGGAGGGCATGACCCAAGGGAATTGACATATACAGTCTCTTTAAGAATCCCTGATTATCCTTAACCACTGTGAACCAGTGAGAGGGATGCTTTAGACTCTTTCACCCAAGTGACTTCATTAATTTCCTGAAACTCTTTACCTGGACCATTACGGTGTTTGGGGATCAGAGAAGGGAATACTGCACACAGGTCTATCTTTTTCACCTTTGGAGCTACCAAGCCCTTCTGGGCTCTAGGTGAATGAATTACTTTCTGAAAGATTGTCAACAGATTTAGCCCCCCTTCCCTTGACCCTAGATCCTGTGACCTTTGTGTAAGGTTGTAGCACCTAAAACCAGAGGCTTGCCACGCTTGCTGGCACAGCTGATTTAGGGCTTTCTCTACATGTCACATCAAGATGAGCTTATGATCATTACTGAAGGACCTGCTGCCTTGTGCCAGGCCTGGAGCTGAATGCTAGTGGCTGCCCCTGGGAAGGGGTGGGGACAAAGAGGAGTGGCAGGACAGTTAGTGCATGTGCCCAAGGGTTGTAACAGAAATGTTTGTTGGGTGCTGGCTGTAAAGCCCAGCAAGCGTCCCTGATATGTGTGCAGAAGGGAATATAAAAACATCTGGAAGAGGTCTAGGCTGTTTGACTGCATTCCTGGGACTGGGTGCCTTTGGTAGAAACCATGTAGTCTTGATTCCAAGGTGGGAAAAGCACCACCAGCAGGTGCAGTAATAACAGAGTCAGCAGCTGGGACATGGAAGCCCTGCTTTCTCTGTGTTCTTGCTATCTTTTATCATTCTTTTTTTTTTTTTTTTTTAAGACATGGTCTCTCTAGATTGCCCTTGAGCTTGTGATCCTCTCACCTCAGCCTTTTGGGCAGTACCTCCAGATTCACTGAGATAGGCATGTATCCCCATGGTAAACTGTTTTTGCTGTCTTAAGTCCCACTAAACCCTGAGGAGAGAGTCACCACCAATTACCATTCCTGTTTTATAATCAGAATCCTGAGGCTCAGAGCAGTGAAGCCACTTCTTAGTCCCACAGATAGTGCTTAGGAGCTGGAATTGCACCCGGGCATCGGGGAAGCCCAACCCGTAGATCCCCCATGCTGCCAGGACTCAGAACACATCACCTCCTGGGAAAGTGCAGCTGGAAGGCAGGGAGAAGATTAGTGGTTTGGTTTTTGTGGTAGGAAATTGAGTGATAGCATGTAAAAACCAGTTTCTGATCAGATTTCTCCCTCCTTTCCTTTCTCTGTTTCCCATACTAGTAATCAAACCCAGAGCCTTTGCATTGACCCAGACATTTTTGAATTTTTTTATTTAAATTTTGAACCACAGTGTTGCTGTGTTTCTAAATTGCCTGATCTGGCTTCCAACATATGATAGTCCTGCTTCCAGAATGCTGGGATTATAGGCTGTCTGATCAGCTTTCTTGATATGCTTTTTGTTTTTGCAGAAAAGCAGATTCAGGAATCGGTTTGACCAACTGATGTGTGTTCATCTCACTGGCAGTGCTGGGACTGCCGAGGTTGTCTTTGGAATGCCTCTGATGGAAGCCTTCTCTTCAGGGGTTCAAACAAGGCAGGGAACATGCCCACCCATGCTCGGTGCCCAGAACCTGCCCAAGGTTCAGCCACAGCAACCAGGGTCACTCTGGATGCAAGGCTCCTCTGGGAAGGGTTACTATACACATGCGTCACTTCCCTGGAGGATTAAGCTCTTAAAAGCCTGCCAGCTGTTGGGAGTTTTGAGTAGCAGCAGCAACAAGCAGGGTTCCCCCGACTGGCTGCCAGATGTTGGTGCTGAGCTGAGGCCTGGCATCAGAGGACAGGGACAGTGTTTGGGTGTGCATTGTCCAGGCCTCTCCCTGGGTCCTGCAGTGCAGTGTGGGCATATGGGTTGAATCAGGGCACAAACTCCTCAACAGAGGCCACAGATTGCAAATGGTGGGCCACAGAGGTAAAGACCGATGCTGAGTTTCCTAGGGATTCTGTTGGCAAGCATTCTGGGAAAACACCTTGAGAAATTTTAAGTTTTTAGGAGGTAGGACAGTCAAAGGAAGGTCCTGGTAGGTGATTTCTTCCCTGAGCCAGTGATACCTAGATAAAGATATCCTGGGACAGATGATGTCACCTCTGAACTGTCAACAGGCCAGGCCTGTG